AAGACACTCCCAACCTTCCTGAACACCTTTACCCTTCAGGACGGACTCCCAAGGGACTCCATCAATCAATGACCTAAGCAAGTCAAAGTCTGCCTGCTGGAAGTCCAAGGTGGAAGTTCTGCTGGTGGCCCTCAATACATCACCCACTATTTAAAACTTTATCATTTTGTGGTCACTATGTAAAGACATCCAGGGACCACCACATCCACCAGAAGCCCTTCTTTGTTTAAAAACACCAGGTCCAGCAGGGCACCTCCTCTCGTGGGCTCATTTACCCATCGTGTTAGGAAGTTGCCTTCCACACACTCTAGGAACCTCCTAGACCGATTCCTCTCTGCTGTGTTGCATTTCCAGCAGACAAGTGGCAAGTTGACGTCACCCATAAGTATAAGGGCTGGCAATCACTTCAGCCAGCAGTTTGTAGAAATCTCATCTGACTGCTCATCCTGGCTGGGTGGTCTATAACAGACTCCTACCATGACATCTGCCCTTTTGGCCTTCCCCTCATCTTTACCCATATGCTCTTGACTTTGTTATCTTCACCATTGTCAATTTGAGTACAGTCAAGGCACTCCCTAGCATACATAGCTACCCTACCACCTCTCTTGCTATGCCTGTCTCTTCTAAAAATCTTAAACACATCTATTACAGCATTCCAGTCATGAGAGTCACAGTTACTGGTGTTGGCTGCGTCAGCATTCCTAGACCTACTAAAAAACCAGTATCAGTTGACAAGTTGCAACTTCCTCACTACAGAGCACAGACCACTGTTTGAAGATATATTTTCAGAAATAATGCTGTTTGATGGTTGTTCTAATCTTGCTGCCTCATACCTTCATTTATGAAGTCAGGAAGCCATATGCTGGGAGACAAGGCCAACAGTAACTCTTTAGTTGTTCATGAACATCTAGACCTTTATCAACTCTCCACTCACCCATCTTTTCTTCAAATTGCAAAGCACCATTCTTTCAATTTTACCCTCTTACAAATATTGCTCCCTGCCTCTGCTTGACCTTGTAGCTCTTCTTTCTTTTTTCTAGTTCTACCACATCCCTGGAAAATGGGGGAATAGGTACCAGACAGAACTCCAATATTTCAGGTGTGTAAATGCAAAGTGGTGTGACATTTTCTGCATTTTTATGACACTACAAAACAGGTGAATTTGGAAGGCACTTCAAACTCATTTAGTCCAATCCCCCTGCTCAAGCAGGGCCATATAGAGCCCAGGACTATATATGGCTTGGTTTTGAAAATTTCCACAAAATGAGATTTGACAAGATCCCTGGGCAACCTGTGCCAGTGCTCAGTTACCCTCACAGTTAGTGCTTCCTTGTGTCCATATTGAATTTCATCTTTTTTGGTTTGTGCCCATTCCCTCTTGTCCTGTCAGTGGGCATCACAGAGAAGAGTCTCTACTCCCTTCGGCTATCTATCGTTGCAAGAAATTGGTAATCCCTGCTATTTTGTGGGGCTTTATGTGAAGTCTGTTACCAGGGCCATGAGTAGATAAGTAACATTAAATGGAAGTTACACACAGGATATTCATTGCTTTGGTTCCAAGTAAAGGAAAAAGTAAACTGAGGCAATTTGCTTTGCATCACATGTGGTGATCAAAGACTCATTTAACACTGCTGATGAAATAATAGAAAGGGGAATAAAAAGAGAGGAAGGAAGCTGAGGAAAGTGAGTGAGGGTGCTGGAGGTTGCAGCTGGCAAGTGCAGCCAGCCCAAGAGCTGCTGCTATGCGTGGAGGAGCTGGCAGAGGGCCTAGGTCTGTTTGTGTGGCTTGATTAAAAATGCAAAATGAAGTCAAAAGAGCTTCTTTTAATTCACTTGCATTACTTGAATTATTTTTATCCTCTGTCTATCTTGATAAGAATTTTCTCTACTGGTGGTCAATATCAGAAGCCCTGACTGCTAATTTTCAGCTCACCCTTTGGTTCCCCTGCTACTGCATGAAGTTGTAGTATTAGGACGGATCTTGTTTTCTCAGGCCAAACATGCCAACACTACACTGCGTGTGAGCCCTGAACAAGGGACCCATTATGACAATGCTCTGTCCTTGTCCTCTTGGGAGCAATGACCCAGAGGATATGGACAAGTTAATCAACTGCACTCCTGCAGGGAGGCAGAAAAAAGAACAGATCCTGTGGCTCACAGGTGGCTTTCAGTTCATGGACCTGGATCCTGGAAAAAATCAAGCCAGGTAATCAGAGCTGACTTCCAGTAAGCAGAACCTGAGGAAGGTTACTGGGCCAGTCTGCTTGCATGGGGGGGAGGTGAGAGGTTGCTAGGCCTATGTCCCTCAAGTGCCAAATCTGGTGTTTCTCTCAGCAGTAGCAAAAATAGTTCAACAGTGATCTGCAAGCAGTTTGTTTGACCCAGCTGTTGTTTTTATTTTCCAAGACCTCAGCCCTAGGTTTGGGTTCAAAAGTAGTAAAGTGAAAAATTTTTTTGACTTCAAGACTTTCAGTAATCTGAAAAACAAGTAGAGACTGGTGGGAGGGATAGTTGCTTGTGGTGCCAAAATACCTGGTAGGACAAAACTGTGAGTAAAAATGCACAGTTGTCACTTGAGAATTAGACCTTGATTTAGATGTAGGATCTCAAAATTGACATGATTATAAGCTGAAAAGTATTTTAGATATCTTTTCTTTGCATGTTGTCTTCCCATGCCCCTTTCCCCGAAAGAATGAACTGCCTTCAGAGGTCTGCAGTCCAGTGTGTTTTACCTGTATGAAAGCAGACAGGCACAAATTCAGCTCCATCACACTCACATGCTCTGTAAGGAAAGATAAGACACATGTTTTGGAAAGTAAATGAGTTTTTAACTCAAATGGGGATATGTGGGAGTTGCCATGTCCTGGAGAACCAGAGGGGTTTGGATCTTTGCCTTTGTTTATGTCACTGGCTTCTGTGGTGCTGACTGTGGAAACCACGAGCAATTTCAGCTTGCCAGAAACTATCATGTATGACCCAGTTTAGTATTTCACTTTTGTGTTGCTTGTCATTTTAGTTCCAGGAATTAATGCCTCCCTGGAGGAACATGATCAAAGCAGGGCCTAGACAGTTAACAGAATGCTGTATGTGTGTCAGACTGTCATGTTGGGGTTTCCAGGAGTCACTGAGATTGGAATGAGTCATCCTGTGACGGGCAATGGATAAACCAGTGAAAGTAGCCAATCCAAGAAGAGTGAATAGCCAGATGCAAAATCAGTATCACACTATCTAGCTGGAGACTTTGATGATGTGACAAGGCTGAAAAGGGTCTCATCTGACAAACAGTATTGTTGAATTTAAAAGGACAGCGAATAATTTAGGGGATGCTCTGAGACAAATGAAAGCAAGCCTAAAAAGAAATCATGGCAGCACTTCTGAGTGTATTCCCAGCCATGACCCAGCCAATGTGTGGATCCAGTTGATGTGTGTCAAGTACCAATGTGTGGCAGATAAGCTTCTACCCTCCTTGCTTGAGAAATTTGAAGCAAAATGTAGTTCAGGGGTCTCTAGCAGGCGGTATGGTGTGTGCACCCAGAGCACTTTGCATACAGCATGACTGAGTCATTCTTCTGCCCAAAAATGCCCCTGCATATGTAGAAGGTTACTGTACTTCTGATGAAACCATAGAAAAACTTGAGACCAGCTAGGAAAAAGATATATAATTGGGAACTGGTTGAACAGTAGATCCCAGAGGGTCATAATCAATGGCACAGGGTGTAGTTGGAGGCCAGTCACTAGTGGTACCCCCCAAGGTGGGGGTCCAGTATTGTTTAACTTTTTCATAAATTATTTGGATGAAGAGGCAGAGTACCTCCTCAGCAAGTTCACTGATGACACAAAGATGCGATGAGTGGCCAATACCACAGAGTAGTACTGTGCAGCCCATCAAAAAGATTTCAACATGTTGGAGAGATGGGCAGAGAAGAACCACGTGAAATTCAGCAAAGGCAAACGCAGGGTCTGGCTCTGGGGAAGAATAACCCCATGCACCAGTACAGGTTAGTGTATTACCTGCTGGAAAGCAGCTCTGTGGAGAAGAACCTGGGGATCCTGATGGAAAACAAGCTGCCCATGAGCCAGTAGTGTGTTCTTGTGGCCAAGAAGGCCAGTGGTATCCTGGAGTGCATTAGGAAGATCACTGCTAGCAGGTCATGAGAGGTGTTCCTGCCCCTCTACTCAGCCCTGGTGAAGCTGCATCGGGAGTGCAGTTCTGGGCTTCTCAGTACAAAAGAGACACTGAGCTCCAGGAGCAGGTCCAGCAGAGAGTGACAAAGATGATTAAGGGACAAAAGCATCTCTCTTGTGAGGAAAGGCTGAGGGAGTTGGATTGTTCAGCCCCAAGAAGAGATGACTGAGAAGGGACCTCATCAATGTCTACAAGTATCTGAAGGGAGGGCGTCAAGTGGATAGATCCAGGCTCCTCTTGGTGGTGCCAAGCAATAGGGCAAGAGGCAACAGACAGAAACCGATACACAGAAAGTTCCACCTGAATAGGAGGAAGAACTTTACTGTGTTGGTGACTGTGCACTGGAACAGATTGACCAGAAAGATTGTAGAGTTTCCCACGCTGGAGATATTTAAGAACCATCTGTGCATTGTACTCTAGGATGACCCTGCTTGAACAGGGAGGTCGGATCAGATGACTCACTGTGGTTCCTTCCAGTCTTACCTGTTCTGTGCTTCTATGTGGTCACACCTATGCCCAGCTTTCTGGCCCTTGTTTGGATCAGGTCTATGGTGACCTCTGATTGATACAGCTGTGAGAAGATAAAGCTGGCAAGAGACATAGTCATATTCTGGAGAATGAATTTTTTATTTTTTTAACATAGTATGAAGTAGGTCCTGCACTTCTGATTTGTTTATAGCTAGAGATATGTCAATTTTTATTTCCTGTAGTCATTTCCTCCAGTTCCCTCCAGCCTTGGGTTTCAAGTGATCAAATAGTAAATCCAGAGATTACAATTACTCATCTCTTCATAGTCTGTTGTATTATTCCAACCATGAGACTAATCTTTCAAGCATGTTCAATGATCCTCACACTGGGCAACCTTGTGGCTACTCAGTCACAATCTTCTGGTAAGTTCAAATCCCCAGATATTTATGAAAGAAATTGATATATTATTTAAGAATATTTCTGTGTACACTTTACCTCATGTATTATAATATTCAGTACTTTTTTTGATGATAAGAATGAACCAAAGAAAAAAATTTATATCCAGCAGAAAGTGTATTTTTAAAACTTTTTTAAAAAGTAATAAATTTCTATGAACGTGTTCTAATTAAAAATGAAGGCAGAACCAGCTAAATTTGTGTCTGTTCTTTAGGCATGACTCCTTACCCTCTAAGGCATATATTAGAGCAGATTAGATTGCACCCAAAAAAGACTAGACTTCACATTGATCAAAGATGGATAAAACACATTCAGGTAAGACTTCCATGCTTAGTACTCTGAAAGAATGAGCATTATGGGAAAATACCAGCAAACTCTTGCTCCTGAGAAAGCATCAAGGTAAAATTACTATTAAACAGCAAAATTAATAAAGACATTAAAGATCAGTTGTTTGGCTACCTAATATGCAAACATCTCTATTTCAGGCATTGGTCTGCAGTGCCATCACTTATAGCTTCCAACAATAAACGGATTATTACAGAACTCAAATATAAAACCCAACACATACAGCAATAATCTAATCTTCTCTCTTCTTAATTTATTGCAAGTTGCCTGTATTTCATTTCATAAGGAGAAAGAAATGCTTTAAAGTTATGATCCCACCTTATCAACCTATAAATCAGCTCTCTGTTCTGCCATACCTACAGTGAATGCCATTTTCAACAATGCACCACCTGATTCCCTAAGGTTAGCTGCTCTTGTGAGTCATTGCCTGTCCCCTGAGGGGACCTGACTTGGCTGTCCTGTGAGGGGATGTGACTTCCCTGCCTTGAGATGGCAATCACCTATAGCCATGTTGTAGTGATGCCATGGCTTTGTGGAACAAAATGTTAAAATTACAGTTGTGATGCTTATTTGATGCAAAATATTGTGATTCCTAGCAATGGTCAGTGATCTTCTGAAAAAAACAAAACCAGCCAGTTTGATGGATTCTAAGAATTATGCTTTAAGGATTATATCCTGTCTCAAAATGTCTAGAAAAACCCCTCTCCCTAGCTGTCTTGTTCCTCTTCTTGAAAAGAGGTCATCTATTCAGTCTTTGTACTGTGCATTCAATTCAGTAGTTTGTGCACAAGGAGTTGCACTTTTGCCTACATTTGTTCCTATTAAAAAAAAAAGAAACGGTTATCATAGGTCAGATGATATTAAAGGTAACTAAAGACTGTAGGTTCAGATCTGGGTCTTGCTCTCCAGTAGTTTCTGTACAGTGTGCTGCAACATGTGGAAGTTCAACATGTGGTTGCTTATCAGGTTTCATCAGTGTAAGGAAATCAAGTGCTTTTTCTTTGTTGTGTATCAATGAGGTTGCAACTGTTCCAGTAAATGTGCCTTTCTGTTATCTTTGCAGATTGACATTCTGCCTCTCCTTTTTCTAGTTTTTTTAAAAAAATCTGTTCCATGACATTCAGCCTTTTTACATGTTCCCCTTCAATGGTACTTTTCTGAGTAACAAACCGATAAAGGTGGCTTGAAGGTGGAATGCAGTTGCTCATATTCTTGCTAATGGTTGCTTCTGCATAATTTTTTGCACAAGGAAAATCTTTTTTTGTTTCCTCCCCTGTAGAAGTACTTTCTTCACATACCATAGTGTTGCTTTCCTAAGAAGAGTTAGGTGCTCAGCAGTGCCTGTGAGCTTAAAGACTTGTGTGGAACCTTACCAGTCCCTGTCTGGTTTCACAGAAGATGTAGACTTGGATAATTCTCTCAGAATCTTGCTCCAGGGCACTGGTATATGTCCTACAGCACTGCAACATACTACATATCTAGTCAGACCAGTAGATCACCCTCAGACAGAAAGCTGCTGCTACCTTTCTTTAGCCCAGGAAATGCCTATTTGTAATATTTTTGACATTTTCATCATCATAAGAGAAAGTATAATTATAAACGTGTTACCTTGGTGTATTGTGTGCCTCTGGGATCATAATTAGAGGAGAGTTTTAAATAATTGCTATTACTGTGGAAGAGCTGAGAATGATCCATAGTGCTGCAGGTGAATTCATAAAAATTCCACCATAAATAAAGGGAGAGAAATGATCCCCTCTATTCTCTTTGTCTTCCCATTAACAGAAGTTGTGAATGATTCTGCCTGCAGAAGTATAGATGCATAGTTTCTTAAAAGGAAACTAAACAACTCTTCAATGAAAGGCAAAGGAAAGATCACCAGAATGAAACACCATATTTCAGATAAACTGTACATGTCATCAGAAGATCTGATAACAATTTGATCCAAACTTTGAAAACCTCACTTAATTATGCATCTTTTCATGTGAAAATGTGAATTATGCAGCATATACATGCTATAATTTTAAAAGATGCATGGAAATGTTTAGAAAACATCAACATAAAGCACAACTCATACTACTTTCAAAAAGGCTACAAAACTCATGAAATTGGGAGCACAGCACAAAATTGTCTTGACTAGAGCTCTAGAAACAAGGTCTTTAATGCAAAAGATTGATAAGATTCTGTCCCACATACCTACTTAATTATGTTAAGACTGATTTTTTTATGAAGCTCTTAAAAACTACAGAACAGGAAAGAATATCTATATAACATCAGATAGTTTCTACAATTTCTATTCCATTTCAATCAAATGGGTCTATTTATGGTTAAATGATTTAAAATATATTACCTTCCATTTTAGTACATAAATTACTGCAGTCCTTGAAGTTTATATTTAAATATTAAAATTCCAGCATTTTAATTCTTAATGTGTAGGGATTTTTGCAGAAATACGTTGTGATACTAGAAAGATTTATACATGTTCTACAATTTCTATTCCATTTCAATCAAATGGGTCTATTTATGGTTAAATGATTTAAAATATATTACCTTCCATTTTAGTACATAAATTACTGCAGTCCTTGAAGTTTATATTTAAATATTAAAATTCCAGCATTTTAATTCTTAATGTGTAGGGATTTTTGCAGAAATACGTTGTGATACTAGAAAGATTTATACATGTTGTTACGTTGATCTGACTAATCTTTTTTGCTGAAGTCAAGTGGACTACTCAGAGTGTGTAAAGTTAAGTCCATCAATAAATCACTGCAGAATTGGAGCCAAACTGATATTCTTTTCATCCAAAAAAATGTACATTGCCAAACCCAAGATTTAGTCTGCATCTCTGAATTGCAGCCTCTAACAATCAGTCCAGAGTCATCACAATGTAACTGAAAAAATAGAGAATAATGAGTGTTGTCCAAGGTTCAGACTTAATTGGTGTCTTTTGTTGCCTTCCAACAGGCTAGTCAGAGCAGACCCTCAGTTTTTGCTTAATGTCCACTCTGTAGTGTGTGGAAATCCCATGTGATTCCTCTGGTTTCTGTATTATCCATCCCTAGAGCCAACCATACCTCAACAAACCCATCTGACAGTTTAAAAAAACTGAACACCCCATCAAAGGAACTTTATGTGATTCAGGGTTTCAATGCTGGTGTCCTTTTTGCATTGGTATTGATGGAAAATGTAGCACCCTGAAAAAGGGTTTCAAGAGTTGGCCTGTACAGAGAGGGAAGACAGGTTTACTACTTCAGGAAAATCTTTACTTTTATTTCTGTGCTGGCAGTATCAGGGTTGTGGGATACATTGTCACAGGTTCAAGAAGCCTCCCAAGAAAGTATCACATATTTGTGAAGCAAATTCGCTGTCAATATTGTCACCATAATTTTTGTCACGTGTAGAAAAAAAGAAGTGTATAAGCAATTTCTGTGTGCTCTCTTGCACAAATAATGAACCAGTGCTATCTCTTAATTCAGAAAGAATAAGCAGTATAATATTATTTTACCCCTCTGAACAGAGCTAAAAATCATAGCATTGCGGTTTTATCCCCTTGGAGATATTTAAACCAAGCTTTTCTTCTCCTTTCTTCTCTCCTGTTAGTGGTGTTTTGTATTTCAGTCATACAATTATTTTTCCCTCTTCCTGACCTTTTTTTCTGGTCTTCTACAGCCCTTGTGACCAAATTGACTGAACACCTCAGAATAATTAGAACCACTACTCATAACAAATTCTATAAAATTCCCCCAAACCTTTACTGATCATTCAACATCTTCAAGCACCTAATTTTCACCAGTAAAGTTACCCCTTTGCTTTACAATTTTCTTCAGTCTGCTGATACTAGCAGCTCTACAGTACTCAGTAACCTCAGCCCAATCTCATATATAAACCCAACTCGCACCATTTCCTGACCACTAGAAATCAGTGCAAGATGATCTTTCACATCCTGGGCCAACAGCTGCAACCTCATACCTGGAGAGCAATGGGATAAAATCTGTATATGGAGCTGACCCTTCAAATAATGAAAATTTCCCTGTTCTGTGTTTCCATGGGGCTGCCCAGCTCCTCGATTCCAAGTGAGGGTTTGGAGCTAGCACTCTTCGTCTGGTAAGGGTCCTGGCAGAGCCTGGACTAGCTGGCTATGCCCAAGATAGTACTCTCAGATACCCACCCTTTTCTCTGTCCTGTTGGTGACATAGCATGCATATAGCCTATTTGAATGGTTTTTGCCAAGTGTGGGAAGGTGAGTATGCACAGCTCTCTGCAGAGATATTAAGCCGCCTTCTGAGACTAAACTGAAGAAAACTGTGTATTTTTGACTTAAAAAATTAGTCTTAAAAAATTAGTAAACAAAAATTTTTCTTTCTGTCACAGTGCCAAACAATTGTATACATAGAAACAGCATTATAAATTAATTTTGAAATTAATTATCCTTGAAAATATGTGATTGAGAAAACAAGTATGCTTCCTAATTTCAGTTTCATAACAAGCATGATCATTAGCAGCTCTTTCTCAAAGAGAAAATATCTGCAATCAGACTAATCAACAAAGAGTAGAAAGTGCATATTTTGTTGCTTCTAAGGGGAATTGAAAGGACTCATTCTATGCTCATAAAAATGTTCTCAGGACAGTGCAATATTCTCCAATCACTAGCACTTTTATTGATTTTTATAATGTCAATTTTATTTAAAGATGGAGAACATGTAATTAGACACTCAAATATACATTAAATTTATGTTTAAGTATCTCTGTAGAAAATCTAGTCCAACAAGTCACATGGATTTCAGTTACACTATATACTGCACAGCACAGTGATACTAAAATTTAGTCCATAAAAATCAAAATACGTTAGTGCAATTGCAGACCAAGAATCCACTCTTAGGCACTTTGCCACCTTATTTCTTAGTGGCTTTTGTTAAAGACATGCTCATCTTTTAGACCTGCAGAGGGGACTTACAAAGAGCTTGAGGACTTAGGAAACAAAAGCTACCTAGGTAGTCTCTTGTAACAGAGGTAGAAATCACTGGATCAAGTCCATTTTGTTAGAGCCTTTGAGGTTTTGAACTTCTATTTCTGCTTTGTCGTGTAGTACTAACTTCCCTATTTTTTTCAGAGAAACACATAAGATTTGCAGTTTGAGAACACAATACAGAACAAGCCTGCAGGCATTAACTAGAAGATGGGGGAGTTAGTTTCAAGCCCTTCTCTTGAGTAAAAGCAGAATTTTTTTACCAGAGCTCCATGAATCACACAGCAGACACCTGCAGCTACATCTACCCAGTATCTTCTGGATTTCTCTCATAACTGTCTTGAATTATTTTGACAAAACAACATGCTACAACACAATTGCACCTATACAAAAATGTTCTGACTAACTCTAACTGCAGTAGTCATAGAACCTCTAGACAGAGAGACACAGGCATGAAAATAGGCAAAATGGTTACTTGAACCCACATACCTTTCTCATATTCTTAGTGGTGATTATGGAGCAAAAGATAACAATCATGAGAATAGTTATGCCTCATGAAAGAATCAGGATCACTGGATGTGATGAAAAGCTCATAAGAAATGTTTTAAAATTTTTCCACTTTAAACCCCTTCAAAAGTCCAGAGTGGTATAAAATATAGACAGCAATCAAAGCTAAAATCCTCTATTCTCCTCCTAGGCAGGAATGTTCCAGCAAAGGTTTTTAGTGGTAGACAATTTAGGGCTGGAGATGGCAGTATGCAATTTTAACCTCAAGTAGGTATTGCTGATATTCATGATGCATTTTCTTACCCTGTTCATTTAAGTAAATATAATTTCACATCCTATGGAATGCAAAATAAATAATTTGTCCTTCTCCTTAATATAGAATGAATTTCTAATACTTCTAGCATCTTAATTTCTCCATTTATCCATCAGGTTTATCTTCAGTGTCTGATTGTGGAACTCTAATGGACACAGAATTAAAATACCTGTGTCCCTAGCAAGATCTATAATAAGAAGGTGGTCAGGAGAGGAAATAACATATGCATGCAGTTCAAGGACATTAAATGATTGTACTTGTATTTAAGGTGGAATTGGCCACAGCCACATAGATCAAATATGAGTACACCTATTTGTTCTGATCTGCTCTGGGCTCCTATGGGTCTTGACTGGTCTGGGCCCACGGTATTAGTTCCTTGTTTCTTACAGTAAACATGTGCCAGTTTACACAGAGGTTCCATGTAGCATTAACCCCCAAATAATTTTCATTAGCAGATGTTATGGGAGAAAGTTGGCCTCAAGGTATAGGCGCTATGCATTGCATACACATGGCTCAGTCTATGCCTATTGTCCCAGGGACCACGAGGCCAAACTTCTCTCTCATGTTGCTGTGCATGCTTTCATTTCATTATTTTGAAATTCTAATTTCAACCTCTCTAGGTTATTTTAGTCCATTTTCTTGTATTTTAGATATTTTTATGTCTTCTTATTTTGCGATCGTCTGAATCAATTGCATATATATCCTTGAAATACTGATATATACAAATGTCAAGGGATGCTTTTCATACTCACTCCTGAAATCATATTTTCTGCAACGTCCTGGGCAGGCTGGAAAGATGTCACCAACATCAAAATAATCAATTTCAATAATGAGAATATGCAGATCACATGGGCAGCAAGAGAGAATTTTCCCAATGAGAATGTGTCATTTTCTTACACGTGAGTATTGACAATGCCTGTTCTTCTCTTGTTAAAAGATTTACCTTGGGAGGCTGAAGTATCTATGTCCATTTGAGTCTTTTGTGAACGGAAAATGCTTTTAACTTTTGTTAATCATCCAGCATGAAACCTGGTTTTATTCACAGCTTATTACAGAAGTGAACGAAACAGTAAGCCTGGTGAGTAGTCAGTCACATCACACATTGTGTGAAAGATTTTTCCCTCTTCTGTCATTGTGCTAAATGCCATGCTAACTACACTATTGAAAGTGGTTTTTTTTCATGTATGTGTGTATATTTTCCTTACTAACTGACATCATTAATAACTAAACAGAACTTGGTAAAAGACATTCATAGTGCTTGATCTTACCTTTTCTTTCTGGGTGGTATATGTGAAAGAACTTTTAGCAGTACAATCTTGGAAGCAGGATAATGAAAGCATCTGTTTGAGCAAGTCATTCTCTTATTAGAAAATAACAGCATGAAGGAAACTTGAATATTTCACACTGCATCAAAACCTAAGGCTGGAAATTCAGTGATGTTTGAGTGATGTATTCCCTCACATCACTGAAATTTGTCACTTCAGGAAATTTCATGCTCAGACTTTCCTTGGTAGGAGCATTCGAAAAAGAAAAGAAAAAAAAAATAGTAGCAAAAATGAATTAACTTGTGTTAGTTGATAAGTTTTCCTTTTACCAATATTATTTAATTTACAGGTTTGATGAAGGCAAGCAGAAAGTTTGGAAGCCATGTCCCAGCTATTTATTGGATCAAGATCATAATTCTGGATGTATTTTTAAGACGGAAGGACCCACCCTTGCCATGTCTATCAGGAACAGCAATGGGAGCAAAGAGCTCTTTTCTAAAAAACTAAAAGCTGATTTTTATAGTAAGTATGAAAAATCACAACTACTTTGGTAGTTCTACTGTCCTCACTGAATCTCCAGCTGTCTGAGTTTGAGAAGAAATCAGTTATATCGACATATAAAAGGTTATTTGTCTGTGTGTGTGTGTGTGTGTGTGTGGGTGGGTGGGTGTGTGTGTGTGAAAACTAAACTGTAGTTATTTATGTTGATTTTTGTCCCAGTAATTACACATGCTTGTGTGAAGCTGCAGCTAAGTGAGATTGCACAGGACAGACAGATTTGTCCCAAAATACAATTTCAAAAATCAGAATGAAAATACTAAAAAAAAAATATGTGGGTGTGCTTTTTCTAGTACAGACCTGCTCAGTATTAGTAAAATAATTAATAAAAGTTGATAGTTTTTTGTCTTAGTTCTGTCTGTGTGAGCTTTCTCATATTTTAAACCTTCCATTCTTTTGCCATCTTCCTTGCAATGGGAAGCAACAAACCACTCTTATCAAAGCTGCTGCCACAAAAACATCATCAGATGTCAATAGAAATTATTTGAGTGGTCCTGGTACAGTCTGACAGAGTAAAAGGGATGTCCTACTGCTAGATGATGTTCCTGTTTTCATTAAGGCCTTCCTGCCCCCAAAGACATATTTCATATCTCGTGTGAGATTAGTTTATAAAAATGTGGAATTTCACATAGTTACAGCATTTAAAGTGGAGGGATTTTTTTTCTAACAAAAATCACACAGAAAACATACAATGGAGAATTATCTAAAAAAATAGTATTTCAAATGTATTAACAATATTTTATCAAAAGGGATTAAACAAAAACCTGTCAAGGCATCGAGCTTTGAGAATATTTTTGTATCATAATTTTACCAATATCTCTTAAATTATGAAAAACTGAAGTCTGGTCCTCAAACTTTGGCTGTTAAACACCCACTGATAATTTCAACACGATTAGGTAACACAGCATAGATATCAAGGATCAGACTAAAGCGTTTAAATTAGGAAGGCAGAACTTTTGCAATGTGAAAAGACAACTAGAAGGATTGAAAATGTGGGTAGCACTGTTCTCTTTATTTCCCACTGCTGAAGACTAACCAGCTGCATAGATCAAACCATGTCATGTTCTTCAGACCACCTGAAGACAGTAAGGGGTAGATTCAGTTGTGCACAGGTAGGCATCCACTGCTTTTTAGAGATGTTCCACCATATCCCACGTAGCCTCCAGCAGCTGCACAAGGGTGTCTTGGAAGTTTTGTGGTACTGAATTTGTCATTTCATTTCCAAAGAAGAAGCCTTTTTCTTCCTCCTGATTGCAGGGACTATGAGGAGACTAGAGTCCTCCCTTAAGTACTTGCCATAGGTTCCTGACATGAGATAGTTACTACCTTTGAATGAGGTGCCTTGAATGGTGAGCAGTGTCATGGTCTCAAGCTCCATTCTGATGTTTAATAGTGAGGCCAGCTACAAAAGTAAAACCTTGAAAATCCACCTTCATTTACTACTCAGAGAAACATTGAGTAGAGGAAGGAACAACAATAATTTTAACTGTGAGGTTCTCCTTTTTAAGACTATAGCAAAATCTGTTTCTGTTCTTCTTAGTAAAGCCCAATCGACCAGAAAATGTGACCTTCTTCTGGAAAGAGGACACTGTTACTGTAAGCTGTAATAAACCAGAGAAAGCTGTGAGGTGCTTAAGGCTTGAGCTTCAATACAAAAGCAAGTTTGATGAAGAGTGGCAAGTGAGTTGGGCATCGCATTTTTAATCAACATTGGAAGGAGTGGGAAGTAGCATCTCCATAGAATGTAAACTAGAGTTGTTTTCAAACTGTTCTTCCATCCTGTATTTTCAAATATAGCTTGTGGATGGAAACATCTAAATTTTTAGAACCCTGGATTCCTACCATGCCAGAAATAACTTACTTTACAAGTTATATCCAGCTGCCACCCAAAAAGCTGAGGACAACCTAAGTGAAAGGTCATACATTCAGAAGAATTTGGAAAGACAAAAGAAGAAAGCAGAGCAGAAAAAAGAAGAGAGAAAAAGAAGAAAAAGTAATGAAACAATATGGGAGAAGAAAGAAAGAAATTACAGAGGATGTTTATTTATTCTAAAATTACCTATTAAGTATTTCCAAATATAATTTCATCAACTTAAACCTTTCCAGTCTCAGTTATAACTTGTAAATAGTTTGTGGATCAAAGTATCTCTTTATACTGCAAACATGCAACTGTAACATAGTACACTGTGCAATGCTTGTTATGACCTTCAACTCAATATCATACAATTAGATATGAGGAGGAATAGATATGAATCATGAAAAGTCAGTCAAGAAAAAGAAGTCTGTGAAACTCAGAGAAGTTACATTCAGTTCTGAGTTTTTGGGTTGGCCTGTCCCTTATCCTGGTTGAGGACATAACTGAGTGTAGGATTCTTAAGCACTGTCTTGAAAACCAGAATTAATGATGATGCACCTTCCTTCTCAGTCCAGAACTTCTAGGTGTTGCAGTGTTGAAGAGCAAGGCTTTGATCCAGAGAAATGTTATTCTTTCCGGGTCAGACTGAAGAGGTTAGTACCCCACTGCAATGTAGTTAATTACAGCAGTGACTGGCAAGCAGAAACATTTTGGATGAATGGCACATTAGTAGGTAAGAGCTGTGCTACATTCATATATTTTCTAAGTGCAAATGGGGAAGGGGTGACTGCAAAAGAGGCTGGGAACATGCAGCAAATGAATGTTACACTATTGTGCTCCATCTTCTCTTAGCAAAGAAAGTTCATGTGATTGTCTAATTGCCCATGTTTAACTGTCCACTTTGTTCTAGACGGTCCACAATGCTATTAATTTATATCATAATTAACAAAGTTGAGTGTTATTATTTGTATTATAATAGTGTCTGTGTTACAATAGTGTCTAGATTTCCCCAGTGGCAGTGATGTGATGCATGGGGGCTCTGTGGGTATGCATTTTCAGGGTGCCCAGAAAAGATATTTGGACACCAAACCTAAACCTTAAGGAAATCCTTGATGGCCCTTTTTTGAAGGCCGTTTATTTTGAAAGTATATCCAGCTGAATTACAGGACCAGAGGTCACAGGAGTCTGATGCTCACAGGTGCTGGGTTGGTCAAAACAGGGAGGATGGGAAAAACCAGATGAAATGGAAACAAAGCCAGTATCAGCACTGCTTTCCCACTGGACAGATACATTTAACCCAGTGTGAATGACTTCAATTAGATCTTTGATGCAAATGGTATTTCTACTGGTTATCAAAACCAAAACCCAGATTTGCTGTAGAAAAAAAAAGACTATACATCATACCAACATATTTGTATCATATCAGCTAAGCACAAAATGCTACTCACTGGGCTTCAGCAGAATTGAGAGACATCTAGATGTCCAGTGTCCCAAGAAATGAGCTCTCTAAAATGCAATGGGCTATTAGCTCACTTGAAGAAAATCTGTTTGCAAAAAGCTGGGATGAAATCTTGGAGCATAGGTATGTGTAGCCTGTGCACTAGTAGCCACAGTGCTGATCTCCAGAGAAGACTCCTCTGCCATGTAAATTTTGAGCCTGCAAGCATGTCCTCAGGTATGCCTGGCAAATGACCTTAAGAAAACAGAGGACAATGTTTCCCAGTGCACTTCTGAGAGACAAGCACATACCAGCCTTACCTGCACCATTTGACAGATGCTGCCAGCAGGCACCTGCAAGGAAGGAAAGCACAGAGGATGCAAGACTAGTGGTTCAGAGAGTTTATGTGCCTCTGGATCAGAAGTGAAATTGTCAGAGATCCTTCACCGGGGCAAGCACTTTGCTTCAGGACTTCAGTAAGTTATTGACTCCAAATCTAACATCAGTAGAAACCATGAACCAAGATGTGCTCAAGTAATTCTATCAACTCTGAAAAACTTTCTTAGGGGGTCACAACTTTTATTGTTACTTCCTGTAAAGTTATACAAAACATACAAGTCGAATAGGCTGTACAGTTTCTCCTGCATGAATAATCATTCAGTTTTTACAGCATTTATATGGAGACCAGAAGTTCAGTAGAGGTTACATTGCAAAAGCTACAGGAAAAACACTGAGAACGCAGAAAAGTGCACAAATGCATTAGTTTTATATACTTGCGTGTTAGATGTTATCCTGCCACTAGTTACTTTCTGGGTATCAACTCTTGTGGTTTGCTGGCTTTTTGTTTGCTGGGGTTGTTTGGTTGTTTTCTATTGGGAAATAAGATATATAGGCTACATGTAAAATTGCATTTGCAACTTTAGTGATGGTAAGTAGGTGCACGTAACTCAGATCTTAGCAAGTTGCTTTATCGCCAGCAATGCAATGTGATGAAGATGAGAAGAACTACTTGATTCATTCATACTGCATCTACACTGCCTATAGGCTCAGTTCTTTATCCTATATGAGGTTAAATTAGACAATTATAAGCACAATTTTCTTTTGTTGCAAGGTTTTGGGAATTTTGGCTTTTCAGTTTCAGTTGAACAACCAAACTTGTCTTATTTGTTCTTAAATGCTCCTTTTTGTTTATATCCTTCTTTTAAAAGAGAAGTAGAAGTTCTAGCATGACTAGGAATATTTACCGTTAAAGCAAAAATATGCTTTTCACATACTGTTTTTGTGATTGTTCTTAGATTCATGTGACTACGATACAACACCTCAGTCAAACACAGTGATTGCTTTAAGTTGTTTGCTGGCAGTACTTCTAATGATGCTTATCCTCCTGATTCTTCTATGCAAATGGAAGAGGTAAATATAGTTTTATTGGTTACTGCTAAATAACCATGTCCTGAAAACAGAGCTCACATTCATTCTCTAAGCAATCAAAATTCCTATTGGGTAAATATAGCCATCATGAAGATGTAGAAGTCAGTGGCTTAATTACTATTTGAAGAATAATGCATCTTGGCCTTCCAAATACCAAGGTCTTTAATCTTCAAAGCCAAAACAATTCTGGTAAAAGAAAATGTTTCAGGATAAAATTCTGTCTCTTCCACTTAACTTCTCTTTTTTAGAAATCTAGCTAAATCCTGAGAAGCCATTATTTTAGTTACTTCTTCTGAAAGGAAATTCTTTTACACAATCTTCATCAAACTCAGTGTTTGCCGTAGGCTAAAGTCAGCTTAAATGCATTCAGCTTTAATAAGACTATATCAGTATTTGAATTTGAAGATGAATGATACTGTTCATGTTTAGGATTGACAATTTTTTCAAAAAAACCCTACCAAACAACAGGCAAAGCCTATAAAGGCCCTAGGTTTTGGTTTTATTGGTGGGAAAAAAAAGTAAAAATGCAGTATTTTCAGAGATCAAAATATATTGGACTCTGATCACCTTTTTAGATCACAAATTGAGTTTTTCCTCTTGTATATCTGTGTTTCATGTTTGCATTTGTGTTCACTAAGTCAGCCAGTACAGATGGTTGCTGTAGCATCTTGTCTGTCTAAGGGAATTTTGCCACAGAATGCAAAGCTCTGACTACTGTATGGAGCAGAATGGCACTTGCTGACTAACTAGAAGTATGTATAAAGTCCAGATTTCACTAGATTGGAGTTGGGTTGAAAATCCATCAGAAAAATCACTCGTAGCCTGCTGGTATTATCATAGTGTTATAACTGCTTTTTAACTTTAAAACACATTTAAAAAATCAAGACTAGAGTTCTGTCATGTAAAATATATTTGTGAGTACAGAACTGTGCTGAAGTAGATTTTTGTATGAATTAGTATGCTGTAACAAATCAATGATTTGTATTTTTCTTTCCTTTTGGCAGGCTTCAGAAGTCGGTGATGCCTGCTATACCAGATCCAAAATATATATTTGCTGATCTCTTTAATGATCATAATGGAAACTTCCAGGTAAACATTTCCTTCCAAGCAAGGCTGTAAACCCTACAGTGTTAAGAATAATTTTAAAGCAGCTACCGATTTTTTCTGTGCACAGACACTATGACAAGTACTCTCTGACCCTAGAGAAAAGCCATTCCCCCAGTGCAATGTCTCCGAGAGGATCCACAGGGCAAATTGTTGTCTTCTCCCAGGCAACCAGCAGGAGGACAAGAGGGCACAGACTCAGGCTCTGCCAGGGGAGGTTTAGGTTGGATATTAGGAAGAGATATTTTACAGAGAGAGTGATCAGACACTGGAATGGGCTGCCCAGGGAGGTGGTGGATCCACCATCCCTGGAGGTTTTCAAGCTGAGACTGGATGTGGCACTTAGTGCCATGGTCTAGTAACCACAGTAAGGTTGATCTTTGATCGATGGTCTTTGAGGTCTCCTCCAACCCAGCTGATTCTATGATTCTATGATAGCAGACTCATACAGTCAGTGTAGTCCTGCTTTGACATTAAGACAAGACACTTGTTATAGAGACTATCTCTCACACCAGAGATGTTCAAGAACCATCAAGACAATCCCATGCAATGTGCTTTTGGTTGACCCTGCTTGAGCAGGGAGGCTGTACCACATGACTCACTGTGGTCCCTCCAACATGAACCATTCTGTGATTCTGTGAGACAGAGTTATTGCTGGAGAAGAATTTAAGGGTGTCCAGAGGCACAATACCCAGTGAGATGCCATTGTGGTGTTTGCATCCACTCCTGCACACGAGAGGTCAGGGAGCTTGCTTCAGCCTGGTCTTGCACTTTATGTTTGTGAAGTGAGATGATACAATTTTGGAAGCATCTGTCACAATATGAAGAATTCTTTCTTAGCCACAGAGGTACCTGGTTGATAAACCTTTAGACAAAGAATGGATATCAAATGAATACACTGCAATTTTTGGTTTTGTTTTCTTACTGCTTCTTATGAGCTCATGGCATCCCATATGTGGTGTAGCTTTCTGTATTAGCTGGGCTGTGTTTATCTTTATTGCTACTAAGTTTTCTCTGAGAGGAAACTGGTGAAATATTTACATTTTCAAACCAAATGACAAGCTGAAAATATTCTATATATACAATAGCTTTAAACTCACACTGAAGAAGAAAGATACAAATCCAAATTAATACTAAAGCTTTAAAGCTTTAATACAGATATGTTATGTTGCCTAAACCTTCATGTAAACTCAGTCTTAATTTACATTAAGTCAGGGCTTGGGTCAAAGAGTCTATCAAGGTCAAAGAGTCTATCAAGGAGAGAACACATTTTACACATACAAGGTTTCCTGAAGGTCCTGATTAACTACAAAGATGTATTTAATTTGGTCTCATGAATAAGTAGGAGTTTGTATGCAGTTCTGGAATCCTGTCTGCTTTCCAGCCATTCTGTCTTTCTTCCATCCTTCTATCTTATGTCCTGCATGTCTACATTGCTTCCTTTTCATCTTCACCATTGTGGCATATCCTTGAAATATGCCATTATGAAAGAAATATCAGTCTGTACAGATAGGTTTCTTTTGATTGATATCTCATCTCTGTCAACATCAACATTTTAATTTTCCTAGGAATGGATAGACAAAAGTGATCATGCAGTGCTGCAAACCAAACTAGAATATGAAGAACCTGAGTGCATCACTGAGGCAGAAATCCAGCACGAAGATGAGAAGAACAGTGACAAACAGGGACCTTTGGAAAAAATCTTCACTTTTTCAGGATCGGGTGAAACCAATGACCTCCAAGCAGCTCAGATTGCCTGCCTGATGCCAGTGTCCAATGCTACAGCTTCTTTTGCTGGTGTCCAGATTTTAATGAATGAAGACATGTATGTGACATTATAAAATCTGCATAATGCAGAAGGTGCTAGGAAATTGCATAAAAGATCCTGATGAGTTTAGGGGAGTGACTGAATAGAAAAGCTGTCATCATGAGTAGATTCACATTAAGAAGGACATTGAGTTATCTGGTTTTGGATCTCTACTTTCCCAACGGTTAGGTTCACTTGGACAGACTCAGTGTTTGAAAGAAACTCCTGATCATTTATAGAGTTTGGATTTTGTTCTTCTAATTGGAGTTTATCTAAGACTAAACTGGGCCCTATTTTTCCTGCCATTGTCAGGAGAGAACAAGTGCTCCTCCATAATATATGTTCTCAGAGCTTATGGAATGTGTGCAGAAGTGCAAACTACACTGATTTCTTCCCAAATGAAGTGTGAAAATAAAGGGATTTTGCTGTTAACGGTTTTGTCACACAAAGACCAGAGCATATACTGCATTTTTGCAGTGATAGGATACTGCTTTGCAAGCCTTCCTTAGACTAGAGACACTTGTTTTTGTAATCTGTTTCTCCTGCTGTGTAACTTTGCACTGCATGTCATGCCTTAAAGGGCTTACAGATAGGAATAAGCCCTATGGCTAAAACAGAAGAGCAAGGATGTGCAGTATTGAATCACATTTTGTCCTGCCAGTAGTGCCATGTAGGCAGCTTTCTCCACAACAGCAGGGCTTCAAGGGTCTCTTCTAAGGTCAGGTCCTCAGTCGCTTATGGTCTTTGTATAGTCAGCATCTTACAGTCTTTCTTCTAGAAAGCTGAGGTTCATTTTGAACAATATGTATGTTTAATTGAGTCACATTTATTTCAAACTGGCTTTTAGTGCAATCAGCAGCTGTATATCCAAATTAGGACTTCTTATTCATATTACCAGTCTCTTTTTCCCAAATCATGTTCTAAAGTTTGCTAAACATACACATTTCTAAGCATCTTTTAAAATATGCTTAATTGTAAATTTAAAGTGCAATATGTGATGCAATTAGATCTCAATTTGGTGAGCAGAAACTAGCTCAGCTCAGCTCTTACGTGATACAAATTGGCAGTATTGTCTAAGAACCAAAGAAGTTAGAGTGAACTGTTCCAGTAATGATTCTATGAATAGAGGGAAGTAAAGCCCAGAATAAATTGGTTAGTTACCTCTTCTTCCAACTATGCATAATATATGGCTGTCTACAGATCTAGCTAGATACCTTAATTAAACCACTTTCTGTTCAGTAAATACTGGTCTGTCTGAATTCAAGATGTTTTACTATATTTTCCTGAAATCTTACTGTGGGGAATAAAAAAGAAAAGAAAAAAGAAGAAAATCATGTTGAATTGTTGTGTTTAAGCAGCATTCCCAAACTCAAATGTTATATAAGTTTTTTGTACAAACTATATTTTGCATTATATTTTATAGACTTAAATGTTCTTCTTGTGCATTTATGCAATTATATAGGCATTGTATATAACAGATTAGAAATAAAACAAATAAAACATCCACCTATCTCAAATATTTATTTTAAAAACATCCCCTTATGAAGAAAATAAAATATAGTCAATTGCTGAAATTCAAAAAGAATCTTTTTTATTTCCCAAAAAAATCCCTTCCACTCTTTAGAAACTCTAGAAGAATGCCTACAGAATGATGAAGCACACAATTTAAGCAACACAAAAAGTCTTCCCCCAAATACTGATGATGATTCTATCAAGCATGTCAGAAAAAGACACATACCTGATTAGCCACATTCACTGTTGGTGGGTTCTGGGAGCACATGGCACCCTCTGTCCAGATCCTGGCATAAGGAGCTGGGAGCCAGTGCTTCCAGGCACACTATGGCTTCAGGCTGAACCACTGCTTAGCAAAAGGTCAGAGAGATCAGAGTATGAGAAGCTGGATACAGAAAAACCTTGCCTGAATGGTGGAACAAAAGGTCTTTATGACTACAATTGTGCGCTTTCAACACCAAATCTAAGAGGGTCTGGATGGATCTGGCACTTTGGAGAGGAGTATTAGCCAGTCAGATTAGTTTGAGAAAGCAGTTTCCTTTCAGTTATGCTACATAAGCAATCACTCCATCTTCATATCAATTGGTTTTTCCATTATGATATAATGACTGAAAGAATTCCTTTAGCTTGCACAGGTTACAGACTTACAAGGGCATCAGTTTGGTTCAAAACCATTCAGGACAGACAACTGCCTCCAACAAAACTCTTAATCCTTTAAGACTGACAAAATGCTGCATATTACCTTGTTCCAATAAGAGGCATTTTGTTTACATTATGAAAATGAAGCTTTCACATGTGATTTTGCCTGTTGTCCAATGTTCATTTTGCAGGACAGTGCTGAGCAGCCCTGTAGCAAAATTCAAGAGCTTTTGCTTGACATGGTTTACTCAACAGAATAGCAGGCTGGCTTGCTGCTTTCAAATACTTTCACAAGTAGTGACAAATTAGAGAGAGAGTAATGAGAGGCTTCTCTAATCATCCCTTTCCATCTGCCATTTTCCATCATTTTGTCATCACTTTTTCTTCTGTCCACTCTCCTCTCCTCCTTTCCCATTTCCCAGATGGTCACACAGCTGTGCATCCTGTCTCTCAGAGCAGTCTTCAACAAATGAGCAAATTAAACAGCCAGACAGGAAAAGGCCTATTCAGTTCCCCACAGTGAGAAGGGTACACAGTAACTTTCACATCTTCCTTCTTATTTATTCAAACATTGTCATATTCTTCAAAGGTATGGGTCGCTCAGATGCTATGCCTTGTTCCCTATTAATCTCCCACAGTAAAGGAGAGATTGTGTGTCATATGGTAGTCCAGACTAATTGAAATGCATTTTCTCAACAGCAGAACAGACTGTGTGTCTCTTCCTCATGCAATTTATGTGCTAGCTATATCAGTGCTGAGCCAATTTACATAGATAGATTGAACATCTCTACAGTTTGCTTTGCTTTTAATGTCTGATTTTCAGTGAGAGGAAGAAAAGGTGGAAATCATGTTGGTTTTTTGTGTTTTTTTTTTAAAAACCAGTAACAGGACTAACAAGTCATATAACTTCTACTTTTATTTTTGCTTGGTTTCGGGGTTTTTTTTAAATAATTACATTAGTGTTTTAAAATTTATTTAGAAATAAGTTTTGAGTAATTATCAAATGCAAGATTTTGAGCAGAAAAATACTTGCTTCTTTTGTAACAAACCTAGAATTTTCTTACAGTGTACTAACATGCTTTCAGAACCATTCTTGCCTTTTTTTGGTGGCTTACATTTTTAGTCACCAAACTCAGCCATGCAAAACAATTTATTTTGTTTTTCCCTTTTTCTGAAAACAAAGCTGCAAAGATGAAACTGGAGGGTCACACTCACTGAATGCTTAAAAGACTGGACTAGATACAATCTTTTTGGGCTTTTCTTGGAAAAACCATGTAAGTCTAAGCTTGTCAAAACACCAAAGGCAAACAGTCAGAATTTTCTGTGGGAAAAGATGATGTGACCCTAATTGACCTTTCATCGTCAAATATCTAAGTAAAGATCTATCTCTGACTAATCTAGTAGCCAAAAGAGCAGTATTGTGCAATAAGGGAGGAAATGCAATAATCACTCCTCCTCTCCTGGAAATTTCTTTTTAGCCTTATGATTTCAGTACTGGATGAGTGCCACGTGCAAGGCTTGCTCTTGCTCAGTTTCTTGCTGGTGGCTGCTTGCACAAGGTTTTGTGAGAAGCAAATGACAGGTGAGCACTCACCCTCAGCCATATCTGGTCCTTGCATGCATCCATGTCTGCCATATGGCAAGCTTGGAAAGGAGGCCAAAACTTGCCACATGAGAAGTTATAGCTGTCTGGGGTTCCTTTCTCCTCCTTACATGGGTGTGTCAGGGCCAGGGGAGCAGGTGGAGGCACTACCTGACTTTCCTCTGTGTGGTGCAGTCCCACAGGGAATGCTCTGCCATGGGCTGCAGGGCAAGGAGCCTGTGTCCTTTTCCTAGTACAATAAGACTATTTCTCCAAATTGAAATCCCTTGGATTACTGATAGGTTTCACATTTACCTACTGGGTGGCTGGGGCTTCTGATTTCCTAGAGGATAAGGAAGAAACAATATGAACCATATTAAAAAAAAATATCCTCATATATATCGGGGCAGGCTGAAAATGGTATCAGAAGAGAGGCCAAAGAATACCTTTACCTTTCTGAAGTACATGATATTATAAGTGCACAGAATAGAAGAGGAACAAATATTGTCTCATGACTCTGTTTTGCTTTGTTCCTGTCTGTTTTCTTTGTATCACCGATTTTTGATATATGTTTTCCTGTTCTATATTGGTCTACAAAGGACTTCTGTTAAAAAGTAGCATTTATCACTGTTTTCTTGGAAAGATACAAAAGGGAAGAGCATAATCAGTTTCAGCTTTTTTATAAGAAAACAAGATGGGTTGATAAACTGTAGGCAGTCAGTCTTGTAAGGTCTATGAACAGAGTGAGCTATAGCCTAACATTAACTCTCTGCAGTGCTAAGTAATTATATAATTAAGTGGCTGCATTTCAGCACAATCCCCTTAAAGGATGAGATATTCTTAATACAATTAGAAAGTGCCATTAGCATACCTTGTAACTAAGGAAGAGCTTAAAGTCATTATAGTAAGTTAGAGCGGGACATGCTGCTGTACCTCAGCACAAACAGCTCTGCTTTGTCCTGTGACTCTTCAGTATGATGAGGTTGATGGAAAAAGAATCAGCTCCCCTTTGCGTGGGCATCTGCATGTGTGGGCTGTGAAGCCCCTCTGAGCCAGATAGCGTGGAAGAGTTTTGTTTTTGTGAAAGAGCTGAACTTCAAAAGAAGGGTGAGAACATCACACACCAATGCACCATGGTTTGTAATGGGTATAGGAAGCTCTTCTTACAAAAAAGAGCACTGAGAGCCTGACTTCTACACACCCTGTGAGTTCTCTAACTGCTGAGCTATAAGGTTAAGCAGACAGAGTGAGAGGGGCCATGACCTTCCCCCTGGTAAGACGAAGGGAAAATTTCCATTTTG